ACTTAGAGGCTTCTGATTATAGACTGAAGAAACATTCAACAAAATGGGAAAAAAAATATTTGCAAGCTACCTACACAACAAAGGATTATATCCAGAATATATCAGCAAGACAAAAAACTCAACAACAGTATCAAGAAAACAACCCATCCAGTTAAGAAGTGGGTGCAAGGCCTCCATAGGCAATTCTCAAAAGAAGAAATACGAATAGCCAAAAAATATATGAAAACATTCTCAACATCACTAGCCATCATAGAAATGCAAATCAAATCCAAAATAAGGTATAGACTCCCCACCATCAGAATAGCTATTCTCTAAAAGACAGAGAATAAAAAATGAAGATGTGGAGCAAACAGAACACTTAAACTTCCTTGGTGGGAACGTGAACTAATGCAGCCACTGAAGAAAATGGTGTGGAGATTTCATAAAAAACTAGACATAGACTTTTTTTTTTTTTTTGACAGAGTGGACAGTGAGAGAAAGAGACAGAGAGAAAGGTCTTCCTTTGCTGTTGGTTCACCCTCCAATGGCTGCCGCAGCTGGCGCGCTGTGGCTGACGCACTGCATTGATCCAAAGCCAGGAGCGAGGTACTTCCTCCTGGTCTCCCATGTGGGTGCAGGGTCCAAGCACTTGGGCCATCATCCACTGCACTCCTGGGCCACAGCAGAGAGCTGGCCTGGAAGAGGGGCAACCGGGACAGAATCCGGCGCCCCAACCAGGACCAGAAACCCATGTGCCGGCACCACAGGCAGAGGATTAGCCTATTGAGCCGTGGCACCGGCCAAGAAATAGACTTTCACATGGTCCATCAATCCCACTTTTGTGTGTATAACCAAAAGACATGAACATGTTGTATCAAGGTTATACCCACAGCCGGCGCCACGGCTCACTAGGCTAATCCTCCGCCTTGCAGCACAAGCACACCAGGTTCTAGTCCCGATCGGGGCGCCGGATTCTGTTCCGGGTACCCCTCTTCCAGGCCAGCTCTCTGCTGTGGCCAGGGAGTGCAGTGGAGGATGGCCCAGGTGCTTGGGCCCTGCACCCCATGGGAGACCAGGAGAAGCACCTGGCTCCTGCCATCGGATCAGTGTGGTGCGCCGGCCGCGGCAGCCATTGGAGAGTGAACCAACGGCAAAGGAAGACCTTTCTCTCTGTCTCTCTCTCTCACTGTCCACTCTGCCTGTCAAAAAAAAAATTAGAAAAAAAAAGTTATATCCACAACTACCATGTTCATAGCAGCCCTGTTCACAGTTGCCAAAATATGGAATCAACCAAGGTGTTCATCATCAGATGAATGGATAAAGAAAATGTGAGATATATATGTATATATATATATATAATTCAATAATAAAAAAGTGAAATACTACCATTTGCATCAAAATGGATGTAATCGAATATCCCATTGAGTATAATTAACAAGAAACAGACAAATACCATATGTTCTCTTTAAATATGTGGGAACCAAAATTGAAAATGAAGATGATCAAAAAACAAGAAAAAAAGAAATGCTTGTGTGTATCAGTATTGCTGCAAATATATTTTTTTGAAACTGTTTACATTTTTCTCAAATCAATGATTAAAAATGTTCTGTAGTTTTAATGATTTGTTATTATTTAAAATTTACTGTATATAGATGAAATGACCATCTTTCCATTTCATTATTATTTATAAAACTTGCCTCTAGGCCAGCGTGTGACTCAATAGGCTAATCCTCCACCTGTAGCGCTGGCACACCAGGTTCTAGTCCCGATCGGGGCGCCGGATTCTGTCCCGGTTGCTCCTCTTCCAGTCCAGCTCTCTGCTGTGGCCCGGGAGGGCAGTAGAGGATGGCCCAAGTGCTTGGGCCCTGCACCCACATGGGACACCAGGAGGAAGCACCTGGCTCCTGGCCTCGGATCAGCACAGCAACGGCCATAGCGGCCACTTGGGGGGTGAACCAATCAAAAAAGGAAGACTTTTCTCTCTGTCTCTCTCTCTCACTGTCTAACTCTGCCTGTCACCAAAAAAAAAAAAAAAAATTAATATTTTTGTGGTTCATAATTTTTCTATTCTAGCCAAATATTTAGAATTAGTTTGTATAATTTCTTTTTTTACTTGCATACCTTTCATACACACAACTTTAGGAACATAGTAATCCTTGCCACCACACCTACACTCCTAACTCCTCTTCCTCTTCCCTCACCTGTTCCCAGTTTGGTTTTTTTTTTTTTTTTACTAAGATCTATTTTCATTTAACTTTATACACAGAAGATTAGCTCTATTCTAGGTAAGAATTTCAGCACTTTGTATGAGTGGGACAAAAAAAGAAAAACAAAAACAACCAAAAATAAAAACCTTAAAAATAAACAAGAACAAAAGTTATTCCTCAGCAGGCCAGACAAGAGTTATTCAAAGTATCTTGATGGTAATATCGCTTTTTCCTTTCTGTCTTTTTGGGAAACTTAATTATCTTTAAAGAGGAACCCAAGAATGATACATCTTTTGTGAGCACTTAGACGTAACTGTAATTTGTGTGACATAAGAATATCCTCCACTGAATACACTAAAATGAAGTAATTCTTTGAGAAAAAGTCTCATAATACAGCTCTTTGAGGACAGAGGTCTTGGCATCAGTGATCAGTGAAGGCTCTTGATAAAAGCTGCCACAGCTATGAAAGCCTTTTGGATCCAGAAACTCCTTTAATTTTTTGACAAGGCCATAGGCAAAGTGGAAGTTCTCTCCTCCCTTCAGAGGAAAGTCCCTCCTTCTTTCCACTGGGGTCTCACCCACAGAGGTCCTTCATGTAGAACATTTTTTGCCACAGTATCTTGGCTTTCCATGCCAGCAGTACTCCTCTGGGCTTTTCAGCCAAACCACAAGGCCTTAAGGATTGATTCTGAGGTCAGAGTGTTACTTAAGGCAATTGTCATTCTATGAGACTGCTGTATGGACTGCTTCCCATGTTGAGGCATTCATTCCTTTTTAATTCTATTATTATTACCAAACACTTATCCTATCTATATGATTGCTTTAACACTTGATTCTATCCATATGATCTCTTAACACTTAGAATACTCTTTTTACTACCCAGCTTAAGGGGATTTGGAGTCCCATGGCAAGTTTTTAAGCTGTAGCCTTAGAAGTAAGTCATAGGAATGTATGCAGAAATATACTTCTTTACAGTTACACACTTCATGCATTTCACAATTATAACTTTAGGGTCATGGTGATTCTTCCCTCTGTTCCCGCCCCACCCCCAAACTCCTGCTCCCCTTCCTCTTCCCTCTCTTAATCTCTTATTTTTAACTACAATCTATTTTCAATTAACTTTATACACATATGGTTAACTCTATGTTAAGTAAATAATTCAATGACAGTATAAAAAAGTTTAAGTAAAATAAGATAAAATAAATGGGGGCTGGCACCGTGGCTCACTTGGTTAATCCTCAGCCTGCAGCATGGCATCCCATATGGGTGCCGGGTTCTAGTCCCGGTTGCTGCTCTTCTGGTCCAGCTCTCTACTGTGGCTCGGGAGGGCAATGGAGGATGGCCCAGGTGCTTGGGTGCCTGCACCTGCATGGGAGACCACAAGGGGCACCTGGCTCTGGATCGATGCAGTGTGCCAGCCGTGGTGGCCATTTGGGGGATGAACCAATGGAAGGAAGACCTCTCTCTCTGTCTCTCTCTCACTGTAACTCTGCCTGTCAAATAAAAAAATCTTAAAAAAATATAAAATAAATGAAAAGGAAAGAGGAAAAAATACAAAAAACTGTTCCTCAACAGTCAAAGCATGGACTGCTCAATTTCTCTTTTTTAAAGATTTATTTATTTACTTGAAAGTCAGAGTTACACAGAGAGAGAAGGAGAGGCAGAAGGAGAGAGATCTTCCATCCTCTGGTTCACTCCCCAGTTGGCCGCAACGGCTGGAAATGCGCTGATCTGAAGCTAGGAGCCAGGAAATTCTTCCAGGTCTCCCATGGGGGTGCAGGGGCCCAAGGACTTGGACCATTTTCTACTGCTTTCCCAGGCCATTATAGAGAGCTGAGTTGGAAGTGTAGCAGCTGGGACTTGAACCGGCACTCATATGTGATGCTGGCACTGCAGGCGACGGCTTTACCTGCTATGCCATAGCGCTGACCCCTGTCCCTTTGTTTTTTACATTTTACATGTTGTTCTCTTTGTTTAGTGGAGCATTAAGCCACTTATTGTTAACTAAAAATATATTTGAAGGTCTCTGCTCTGGATTAGTGGGTTAAGCTGCCACCTGAAGTGCAGGCATCTCAAGTGGGGATAGTTTCCAATCCCTGCTGCTCCACTTCTAATCCAGCTCTCTGCTAATGTTCCTGGGGAAGCAGCAGAAAATGGCCCAAGTGTTTGGGCCCCTGCAGCCACATAGGAGACGCAGATGAACCTTCTGGCTCCTGGCTTTAGCCTGGCCTAGCCCTGGCCATTGTGGCCATGTAGGGAGTGAACCAGAAGATGGAAGACTTCTCTTCTGCCTTTGCCTCTGCCTCTCCCTCTCTGTAACTCTGCACTCCAAATAAATAAATACATAAATAAATAGGATGTTTAAATAAAATGTTTGAAATAAAGGAAGAATGAAAGTAAGGAAGAGGGGGAGAAGGATGGAGGAAAAGAATATCACTAAATTTTTAGAATTGTACCTGTGAATTACACTAACTCTGTTCTCTTTGTGCTATTAGTGCATTAACATGAAAATATCAGATAAATAAAGGGCCAGAATTTTAAAGTAGAAAAATTAATTCCAAGTATTTATTCTCTATTGGTGGAAATGTTTATGCATAAATTCAAGTATTACTCTACTACTTTTAACTTACCAGTCATCCTATAGTTGAAGATACAAATTTCAGCATACTCAAATATAATCTCTTAGTGAACATCAGGGTAGTATGTCCCTGATACATAGATGCATACATATGACATATGCTTTCAAGTTCTTAACAAATGTCCTTAGGTAATGATGACAGTAATTTTTTTTTTTTTGCCTCCTTTATTTCACAGGATTACACACTTACAATGTATTTCCAGCAGTCTTGGAAAGACAAAAGGCTTTCTTATTCTGGAATCCCATTAAACCTCACCCTAGACAACAGAGTAGCTGACCAACTCTGGGTACCAGATACCTACTTCCTGAATGACAAGAAATCATTTGTGCATGGGGTCACAGTGAAAAATCGAATGATTCGACTACATCCTGATGGAACAGTTCTCTATGGACTCCGGTAAGTTATTTTTACTATTGTTTTGTTTCTACTTTTGTAAGCAGAAAGAAGAGAGAGAAGCAAGTAGAATATATAGATGCTCTCACATGTAAAAGTAACTCATATTAAAGACCAGCAAATCAGTTTTGGAAATATTTGAGCTCAAAAGCAGCAACATTGTCCATCAAATATAAATGAATATTTGCCCTGGCCTTCAAATAATAAGCATAGTAATAAGAAAATGAGTCTTTGCTGTAAAGATTTCACATCTAGCTTGTTCTAAATGTTGTATCTTTTAAGTCAGTTGTCTAACTCTGTAGGTCTAAATTAACTGAAGTACCTTGACTGTGTTGCGTGTAGTTATTTAAATATGAAAGGGAACTGTGAAACACTTATTTGAAGAAATAAGATATTTTGTGGTGACTTTAAAAAGATTTATAGTGTTTTTATTACTTTACATTTTTATGTTTTAACATTTTTATGTAGGTCTTTGAACAATATTGAATTAATTTGTGTCTTTTGGGAGAGTTAGGAGTTGTTGATGTTCTGTTTTTTCACATGGTTATCCAGTTACTTGAGCATTATTTGTTGAAAAGAGGTTTTGTTTCTCCATTGGATTGTGTTACTGCCTTTGACAATGTAAGTTGAAGGGGGGGAGACAGGAGTTTCTAGCTGTTGTGTTCCATTATTTTATTTGTCCATCCTTAGGAAATGTTACTCTATTTTAATTACTAACCCATTATGATAAGAGCTACTGAGTAGTTACTAGTAGAGCTACTAAGATAAGCCTTCTAACTATGTACTTATTTTTCAATATTAGTTTAGATAGCCTAGATCTCTCTGCATCTCCCAATAGCTTTTAGAATCAACTTGTCAATTTCTACCCAAAAACCTGAGATTATAATTGTGATACATTGAGTCTATACTTCAGTTAGCAAAACATTGACATTTTAAAATTATCAAGTCTTCTACTCCATGAACATATATATCTTGCTTTGATTATCTTTAATTTATAGTGGTCATCCTTTGTATAGCAGGTTTTTTTTAAATTTTGTTTTGCTATGTATAAGAGGTTAAAAAAAGGCATTATACACGTACAGAAGTCTATTTTTGTCCTTTGTATAGTTAAGGGCTTGTTAAAAATTTTAGACTATGTTTCAAAATTAGCTTCCAGCTACACCAAAAAAATATCTAAACTGTAACCTGTTACGATAGAATTTTTAGAATGGTGGTTCTCTCTTCTTTGGTTTGATCTTTTGTGACTCCTTTGTAAAGCAGATGAAAGCTCTGTGTCTAAAAACTCAAATCTGTTCTAAATTTTCTTACTATTTCAGAGGCTCATAAGTCCCCAAAGTCTTTCTGTATACCATGAACACCAAGTTAAACTCTGATTACAGATTAAAATCCTATAATTAATGTTTGTAAAGTCACCAGTACTAAAAAACAACATGCTAGTAAAAAATATATCTGTGATAAAACTTCTAATCCTTAAACCAGTCATTGCTTAGTTTATGATTATGTTTGGTCTTCATTTGCACTGGAAAATAGCATCAATTCATCTTGGCAAAATGGTCTTTGATTTTTTTTCCCCCCACTATTTCAGTGCTCCAAAGGTTTTCAACTCCAGTTGAAAAATGTGAGATAAAAATCTCTCAGAAAAATGATGAACAGGTACTTGAATCTATGATAATTGCTACAGACAAAATCCACTAATTCAAGATCAGAGACTGATCTTTAGTGATGATTAATATACAATGGAAATCACTTGTAATTTTTATGTAAGCTATGCCATTTCTGTCAGATATACTAATTGTATAAGAAATGGGGTAAGCTACCCTTCTAAAGTATCCTGGAGGAATAATTCCATGAGATAACTAAATAAAAACGCAAGCTACTCATTAGTCAAGAACATATAAAAAGCCATTTCATTGGGAAAAAAGATAACTAGATTTTTTTTCAAGTAAGAATGTGGTCCACAATCTTAGTTTATAAAGTCTGACTTCAGATTTTCCCAATTCACTGGCATTCTTTATCAATAGAATGATATAAAGGAAGCAAAAGCTGAGAACCACAAAGTTGAACACTCCCCATTTTACAGATGGGAAGCTTGAAGGAGAAAAAGGTGAGAGGATCATATCTTAGTGGATGATAAGGTAATGGCAGGGCTGGGACTAAAATACAAGTATCCTGATTCCCGTGCTTGTACTTTTCCCACTTCACTAACTTTCAAATGCATATAAAAGTCAATACCTCCTTCCAAATTGTGCAACCTTGCTTTCTAACTTTGATGCTATCCCAGGTTTTTGTAGCTTGTAGCCTGCAGACAATGACCTTCCAAAGAGAAACACAAACCATTCATCTTTTTTCTGGGCTCTGATCTTTTTATGGAACCAGCTTTTTCCCTGAAAGCCCCACACCAGCCCTCATATCTTCTCTTCCTCCTCCTCTGCCTTGCTCACTACCTCTTCCCTCACAGGTTTGCTTTGCTTTTCCTCAGAGGTTATAAATATCCTAGAGACACTAGCAGAGAAGGTATGACGTCTGAATCAGAGGCTGAGGATGGGCTGAAACTCCATAACTTTCTGACTGCTTGTCCTTGAACAAATTATGTAAGTTTCCTGAGCCTCAGCGTTATCAGCTGCAGGAAGCGGTCAATACTTCCTAAGTCATTTTTGTTAAGATATTACAAACTATTTAATATGACAATATGTTTTAATTCCTAAATTATATATATATATGTAAAGTAATTGGAATAGTCTTATTTGGTGCTAGAAAAAGGCATACTGAAGAAAACTTTCTTTTTTAACTCCAAGGGATATCAATGATTATAACAGAAATACAGTTGTCCAATTAAGAAGACATGCACTGAATGTCTAGTATGTACCATATGCTCATTATTTTGGCCCTGAGAACACTTCCCCAGAAGTCTGGTTGAAAGCTGTATGCTTGCAGATTGAGAAGCACCTAAGACTGCAAGTTGAGTGACTTGTGGCCTGTCTAGCTGTGTCCTACAATAGTCATTTCATTTCCCCTGGCTTTATACCCTCCAACCTAAAAAGAAATATATTGGACAAAATTATCCCTAGAATCTGATTTAAGGATAAGTTCCATACCGTTTTGATCCTACAGATTAAGATGTGTTTAATTCTTCTGATGTAATACTTCCTGGTCTTAGAAATGAAAATATGTACTTTTATTCTTTGTAAGAGTCTTTTAAAAATACCTGTCATTTTTGGTGTCCTAAGCACATATACTAGGGAATTCCTATTATTTAACATATGTGTTGGTGTATTTATAGCTAGACAACACTTATTTTAGACATAGTAATCAGAAAAATAAAACTTCTTTCCTTACTCCTTTCCATAAATCCTACTAATAGTCATTATGAGTGAGGCCGTATATTAGTGAATTGAATTTAGAAATGATAGGATCAATGAGGTTTTCTGAACACACCTGAAAGCCCCTTTGGTCAGGTATTTCATGATTATAAGGCCACATCATTAAACTAAATCAAATTTTTGCTATATTCAAATTCATTATGATGTACTATAACTTTATATGAAACCAAAAGAATACATTACATTTTTTTCTACTTTTTGTTAACTATGTTAAATCAGATTTTATACTCAGGGGATGGTACATAGTTCTGTAAGCACTAAAGTAGAAGACTGGCCTCTGGTAGGAGACTGTTACTTCTGGAAGAACCAGGCTGATGGGTAACAGCTACCCAGCATATAGCAGAGGCTTCAATCCTTGTATCTCTTGCTCTCAGGCACTCCTGCTGTGAAAAAATGCATCACACCTGGAAATAATCTTGTAGCCATGATTGTTTCTTCCATTTAGGTAGGACTCTAAATAAAAAGATTTCTGGGGTGGGCATTGTACAGGGAACTAAGCCATCACTTGGGACACCTGCATTCTCTATCAGAGTGTTTCTTTCAAGTCCTGGCTGCTCTGTTTCCAATCCAGCTCCAAGCTGGTGTGCCTGGGAGGCAGCAGATGGCTTAAGTACCAAGATGGCATTCCGAGCTCCTAGCTTTAGCCTTGCCCAGCCCTGGCTGTTGTTGCCTTTTGGGGAATGAACCAATGGATTGATGATCTCTCTCTCTCTCTTTCTCTTTCTCCTCCTGTCTTTTAAATAAATAATCTGAACAAATAAATAAATAAAGGATTTAGGTGATACTGTATTAGGAGGACACAGTTTAGTCCATGTCTCTTGAATCCTCAGCTCTTTTTTAAAAAAAAAGATTTTAGCTGACTTACCTCAAACGGTAGAGTTAGAAACATACCAGGGGATTCTAATTCAATCCCATCAAGGTGGCATGTACCAATGCCATCTCACTAGTCCCGGTGATCAATTTCTGTTCACAATTGATCATAATGATAGGACTAAGAACCAAAGGTATCACATAAACAAGAATAGTGTCTGCAAATACTAGCTGATAGAATAAAAAAGGGAGAGAATGAACCAACATGGGAAGTGAGATACACAGCAGACCCATAGAATGGCAGATGTCCTAAACAGCACTCTGGCCTCAGAATCAGCGATTAAGGCATGCAGATCCAGCTGAAAAGCCCATGAGAGTATTTCAGGCATGGAAAGCCAAAACACTCTGGGGTGGGGAAAAAAAAAAAAAAAAAAAAAAAAAAAAAAAAACCTAAATGAAAGATCTCCCCGCCGTGACGCCCAGTGGAAAGAATGGGTCATCAAAGAAGG